ACCAAAAACTAAATGCTTATGAACTCACCAGCTTTGTGCTGATATTCTTTCAAAACTGCTTGTATTCTCAGGGAATTAGTAGACAGGTACTTCCAGGATTTTGGAGAAGTCGGCGCGTTAGAGTCACGTCTTTCCATTTTACTTTTGATATGAACAAAACTATGTATTAAGACAATGTAAACCTTTTTAATATATGTATTCAATGTTTGGTTGTGTTTACTATGCTTGCTATGATACAACTGTTGTGATACTACGCATGACGTCAACCACCCCCGAACGTTTCTGCCGTTCCGGTTTGGGGGTGTGACAGTTATCTAGGTTTGCCACTATCTGTTATGTTTTTTGTGCTAGCCTGGTATGATGTTATGTGATAGTGGTAGTAGGGGGAATAGTCCCCGTATCAAGTCGAAAGGACAAAAGGGGTAGGTCGGGCACCCCGGTATGCCTGAAAATATGTTTATGTTATGTGGTAGTGGTAGGGGTGAAATAGTCCCCGTAAACGGTTGAGATACACCGGAGGGTAGGTTGGGAACCAAGATATGCCTGACATGGGGTATGTTAGGCACCCCGGTATGCCTAGCAGGGGTAGGTTGAGCACCCCGGTATGCTCAACTGGGTAGGTCGGGCACCCAGATATGCATGGCAGTATGTTATAGTATGGTATGTGGTATGATGGGGGAACTCACTAAGCTTTGTGCTTACGGTTTACAGTTTTGGTTTTAGGTACCTCTTCTTCGAAGGGGAAGGAGCCGGCATGACTGCAGCAGATCACATACATGATTTTCCGCACATGAGATTCTTGGGCTTTATACTCAATTGTTACTATTTTATGATATGGTTTTGGACGCGTGAACTATGGTTTTATGAAATAAATTACTTGATGATGTTTTCTTACAAATTGTTTTATAAATCGTTATATTGAAAATGAAATTTTTGGTCTTGAATTTTGGGATATTACACAACCAAGCGTGCTTTCTCTGCTGCTGCTCCTATTTCTTATTGCTTAGCCTTATTTGATCCGGCTTGGAGAGCTGCCATGGAGTCTGAAATTGATGCTCTTCGAAAGAACAATATGTGGGTTCTTGTGCCACGTCCTACTGGTGTGAATGTTTTTGGAAGTAAATGGGTTTTAAAGTCAAGGAACACCCTGATGGATCTATCGACAAGTATAAGGAACAGTTGGTAGCTCGTGGGTTCACCCAACAATATGGAGTGGATTGTCAGGATACCTTTAGTCCAGTTGTAAAACCAACAACCATTGGATTGGTCCTTTCCTTATCTGTGTCTAGGGGTTGGCATCTTCGTCAAATTGATATAAACAATGCGTTCCTTCATGGGCTCTTGGATGAAGAAGTCTATATGCAAAAACCACCCGGATTTGAGAACTCACGACATCCAACCTCTGTGTGTAAACTGCAAAAGGAACTATATGGACTGAAGCAATCAGCATGTGCATGGTTTTCCGGTCTTAGTGCCAAATTGCATCATCTTGGGTTTTCTTCATCCAAAGTTGATACGTCTCTTTTCATATTTCATGCAACTAATGTCTCCATCTATATGCTTATCTATGTTGATGATATTGTTATTGTTGGCTCCTCTTAACTAGTTGTTGACAAATTAATAAGAACTTTATCTTCCTTCGTTCTTCTTAGGGATCTCGTTCGGCTTAATTATTTTCTGGGAATTGAAGTCGTTTACAATTCAGGGGGAATCACCTTAATGCAGCACGAATATGCCACTGACCTTTTGCATCGTGCAAACATGATGAATTGTAAAAGCGTTTCAACTCCCATGTCAGTAACAGGCAAACTTGCTCAAGATCTTGGAACACCCCTTAATGGTGAAGATGCTTTCAAATATAGAAGTATGGTTGGTGGTTTGCAGTATCTTACATTAACAAGACCTGATATATTTTTTCCTGTTAATAAGGTGTGTTAATATCTTTCCAAACCTACTATTGTTCATTAGGAGGTTGTAAAGAGAATTTTGCGATATGTTAAAGGTTCAACGACCACGGGACTCTATATTTGAAAATCAACCTCCACGTTGTTGAGTGTATTTACTGATGCAGATTGGGCAGGTTGTCTAGACTATCGAAGGTCTATCAGAGGCTTTGTAGTGTTTCTAGGTCGTAATATGATTTCATGAAGTTCAGAAAAACAACCCACTGTCTCTCGGTCAAGTACAAAAGCTGAGTACAAGGCCATGGTGAATGGCACATCAGAGTTCACCTGGATACAGTCATTACTTAAGGAGTTAGGCATTCATCAAGCAAGGCCACATGTGCTATGGTGTGATAATTTCGAAGCCACTTACTTAACAACTAATCCCGTCTTTCATGCCCGAACAAAACATATAGAAACCGATTTCCATTCTGTTAGAGAAAAGGTGGCGATGGGAGCTTTGGACGTCCGATTTATATCCTCAAATGATGAACTTGTTGATGGTCTTATGAAACATACGACACGCAACATGTCAGACAGTTTAAGATACAATCTAAACCTTGTAAGGCCGGTGGGTGTGGGCTCGGTGAGGGGCTCGGCATGCTCGACGCACACCGAGCCGACCCCTCGGCTCGGCATCCATGTTCATATTTTCCGAGTTTTGATGACCAATGGGAAGAGGGAAGGGTAGCTGTCAACGACTATTTTTTTTAAACCTCCTATAAATACTACACAACTTCAACCCATTTTAACTTATAACATCAACTTTACAACTCAAATACTCTCTCAAATGTCTTATTCGTCATCTTCATCAGGCATGTTTGATGCCTTGCTTGAAACCACTATAGAGGTTATTTAGGAGGCGGAGCAGATGATTGAACGACTACAAGAAGAAAATGCCGAGAATGCACTCAGGAGGAAGAGAAGATACATACAAAGATTTCGTGAAGCGGCTAATGATCAACTCATGCAAGATTACTTTGTGGATGACGCCAACTTTATAGGATACTATTTTCGGCGTTGGTTCCGTATGCATACATCTCTGTTTTTGCGTATAGTCAACGACGTCACGGCTGCGTATCCATTTTTTCAACAACGTCGAGATGCTAGAGGTACAATTGGTTTTACTCCTATACAAAAATACATCGCTGCACTTCGTCAATTAGCGTATGTCCCTTTCCCCGATGCACTAGAGGAGAACCTTAGGATGTCCGGACGTGTTGCACGAACTAGTCTTCACAAATTTTGCAAGTATGTCATGAGATTATATGGTCCACGATATCTGCGTAAACCTACTTGTAGTGACATCCAACAATTGTATGCTCATCACTTAAACGTGCACGTCTTTCCTGGAATCTTAGGAAGCCTAGATTGCCTCGACTGGGCATGGGGTTGTTCTCCGAATGCTCATAAAGGTCAATACACCCGAGGCGATCATGGTTATCCAACCGTTATACTAGAATCGGTGGCGTCACAGGATATGTGGATATGGCATGCATTCATTGGCTCAGCTGGCTCCCTTAATGACATCAGTGTTCTTAACATGTCTACATTGCTTGACGACATGTACAACGGGACTGCACCAGACTCCTCTTTTCAAGTAGCTGGAACATCGTACATGAATGGGTATTATCTGGTGGATGGGATCTATCCAGAGCGTGCTTGTTTTGTGAAGTCGTTGTCTTGTCCAAATGATCGGAAAAGGTTGATGTTTAAGAGAGCTCAAGAGCGGGCAAGAAAGGATGTTGAACGAGCATTTGGAGCTTTGAAAAAATGTTGGCATATTCTTAAATATCCCGCGCCGTATATGGAGGAGAAGAAAATGAGCGAGGTGATGTATACTTGTATCATATTGCATAATATGATTCTAGAAGACGAAGGAAATGCAATATGTGAGTATAACGAAAACGAGATCGTTCCACCGACACAAGCTTTTGAGGTTGGAAGCGCGAAGTACATGTCAAGGAGGGCACTAGTTAATGATGTTGAGACGCATCATGTTCTTCGTCGGGACTTAACGGAACATATTTGGAACGTCAACCACATTGATCTTAACACGAAACCGGTCGACGATTTGGAAGGTCAATTTTCTGATGAAGACGTTCTTTAGGTCTATCTAGGTTTTGTAATTTTAGTTTGTATGTTTTTAATTTTAAATTCTATTTTTTTGGTGTGTTTGTTGTTATTTTGAATTTCTATGTTTTTATTTTAAGTTTAATGAATTTTTGGTTTTTAAAAATTGTTATGTTTGAAAGATTATTTTGTATATTAAAAAAAATGTAGCATGACAAGTATGATAACCCGCGCCTACCAAATGACAACTTTTGGCAAAAATGTGAAAAGTGTGATGTGGCGCCTACGTGGACCGTGACAAGTGTGACACCACACCACCACTCTAATAGTTAAGATTGAGGGGGAATGTAAACATGCTAAGAAAAGGAAGAAAAGATAATTAATTAGATATGTGTTTGTGTATAGATATAGATAAAATGCATGAATTTAGGATCTATTGTTGTAAATTTTTATATATAATGAATATCAAGACCCAAAGGGTAACACATGGCAAATAATAACTTTCACTAAGGGTTTCCAAACGGATTACCGCCGCTGTACTGCCCATGTTTTCTAGTAGTTGGTGGATGTTGTAGAAAATATAAAAATCTAATACTATTTACTCAATAACATGGATGTTATAATAAATTAGGCTCATCAATACTACTGAAGCATAGGTTCATTTGCATGGCCAAATAGACCAAAGGAGCATCAAAGATTTTTAGATATCATGTAATCCACACATTCCTCCATGAAATTCCAACTTTCCTTCACAGCATCTTGGCCAAGCATCGCCATATCATATATACTTGAAAAATTGCCAATTTTCAGGTGAACATCCACCATAAACATAGACCCTAGTTCCAAGTGGAAGGCAGCATAGGATAAAAGAAAAAAAGAACACAGGATATTTTAGAATGTGCTGCACCTGAGAATCAGTACGTGCCACATCATTCAAAGTTGCCACTTTTTCATTACACCATTTTCATCTCTGTCCATAAATAATGTGATCGTGGGTTTCCATTAGACACTCTCATCTCATTTGAACTCATCGTGCTTAAAAAGAAGTACTCTCACTTATCTGGGGGTAAGCTCTTTAACTAAGAGTTAAAAAAAAAGATGGTGAAGTTCACTAAACAGTTTGAGGGTCAGCTAGTTCCTGAATGGAAAGACGCCTTCGTTGATTATTGGCAACTCAAGAAAGACATCAAGAAACTCAACTGTGATTCCACTGCTCCTTCATCAAAACCTAAACATAAAAGCTCTTTAAGCAACACCTTCTTTTCGGCAATACATAAACTTTCCTTATTTGGAAATCAGTGCAGAACACATGAAGTCATTCACGTACATACACACTCTCTGACTCTAGTTTTATATTTACTCTTTGAGCATTATCTCTTGATTCTTGACCTCAAGTTATTCCCAAGAGAACCCAAATGCTAGCTACTTGGTTTTAATGTCGCTTTCCTAATGTGCTTTAGTTTATGTGGTATCAGGTTCACAGTAAACTTCAATCGACAAACAGTAAGGGAGTTCTATACCAAACAGAATTGTTAGAGAAATTTGCTGATACTGAAGCTGCTAGTGAATTCTTCGCACTTTTGGATCTTCAACTTAACAAAGTTAATGAATTCTATAGAAGGAAAGAGAAGGAGTTCCTCGATAGAGGAGAATGTCTTGAGAAACAATTACATATTCTGATAGAGCTCAAAAATGCAATAAAAGATCAGCACCAAAATAAAGCTAATTCATCCCACCACGACTCCAAGGATGAAGACTCGATATCTGGCTCCATTTCATGTGGTACGAAACTAAGATCTTAAAAACAGATCGAATGTGGTGTCATGGGATTCAAAAATATAATTTTTTTAGGATACTCAACTTTTTACGATGACATTTTTCTTATTAGTTGAGGGTTTTGGATACTAAGCCAATTGATATTTTTCCTTTTATCTCGGCACAGATGAAGAATCCAGTAGGGGCATTATAGAACATGATTTGCAGGAAGAGGAAAAGATTGCAGAAGAGCTTGATAGTAATGGTGTTGAATGTGAGGACTCACCAAGATCAGAAGAAGATGGGAAAGTGACAAGATCTATACAGGAGGAGGAACAGAGTCTCTCAGGTTATATTATCAATAGCCAAGGAAAAAAGTTGAAAATTCGCATTCCTCTAACCAATCCTACTCGAACATTCTCCTACCTGCTTTGGGAAGATTCCCTCAATCAATCGTCCAGAAAACACAATGCTCATGGAAAAAAGCTTCATGTCAACAAAACGAAAGTCCATCATGCTGAAAAAATGATTCGAGGAGCTCTAATTGAGCTTTATAAAGGATTGGGCTATCTCCAAACTTACAGGTATTATTTTGGTTTTGCTGCATTATTCTTTTTTTATAAATTTCTTGTGGCATCAAGTATTTTACTTGATGGTAGTTGTCCCTTCTTGTAGTTAGTTAGTGGTTCAAATCTTATTTTATTCCATTCCTACTCTAAAACGATGTCCATGACAACCCAACACTTATCTTTATGAATTATTCCATTTAATACGGACCCTTTTAAATAATCTTTATGTTAAACGCTTGAAGTTTTGGTAAGAAGGTTAAATGCTTATTTATGTAATGCATTTTCACTCTGTCAATTTACATGAAAAAAAAAATGATTTTTAGAGGAAATATGCAACCATATCATGACGACTGAAATTTGGCTATTTAACTGGTTGAAACGTTGTAGTTGTGTAATTACAATAATTTGCATAAGTTAGTAACTAAAGTAACAAATAGTTGCATAAATTGGGTAAAACAGTTGAAACATTATTGCACAAATTTGAATACAATAAATAGGTAAATCTCTTCTTGTTGACCAAAAAAATTATTCCATAAAGAAGTATTTAAGACTTTAAGTGGTGCTAAGAAGCAACCGATTCCTGGTTATAATGTTGATTTGTTGAATATTTTCTTCTAAAACAAAACATGGTTTCATATATTGTGTTAAAAACTATTTTGTTGTATTAATCTTTGCCAACAAACAAAAATTAATTAACACATACTATGACAAAGATTGAATCTTTTTTTAGGTTGTAAGCAATCCAATAGTTCATATGATATTAATGCTTTTTTCAGTTGTAAGCAATCCAAAAGTGCATGACATTAATGATTCTGACGTTGATTCTTTGTAGGAATTTGAACATGCTTGCATTTGCAAAGATTTTAAAGAAATTCGACAAAGTAAGTACACAGTGTGGGCTCTAGTTGATTAACAAAATCTTACTTTATTTTTCTATGTAATTAACTTTAAATTTATAACTAGATAGATTTAGCCACCTTATGTTGTCGTGCTATTTTCAGGTAACAAATAAACAGGTTCTTCCCATCTATCTTAAAGTTGTCGAAAGCTCCTACTTCAACAGTTCGAACGAGGTAAATTTGAAAAAATGAAGATCCTCAAGTTAAGATAATTTGGTTGTGCCTCATGACACAGCCACATTGATATGTCCAAGAAAATATGAAAGATAAATAAAATCGAGTACCATATATTCCATATGTTGGATGAAATTGAGACAGAATGAAGTGCCTTTAGATGTTTGATCTTTTCTGTTAAACCAATATACGTATTGTAGAAAACTGAAGTTTCATTCATTTTATATTATTTTGTATGGTAGATTATGAAGCTGGCAGACGAGGTAGAAGACATTTTCGTGAAACAATTTGCAGAAGATGACCGAAGGAAGGCAATGAAATATTTGAAACCGACTCAGCGCAAAGAGTCTCATGCTGTCACCTTTTTCATAGGTGTGCTAGTGCTACTATACTTTGCTTAATTTCTTTAATTTGTTCTATTTCGTTTTTAAAACAAACAAAATGATTAATAAAAAGACTAAGAAAATAATTCGCCACTAAAAATTAAAAGGTCAAGAATTTTATGATAATATATAAAAACATGAAATCTACTTTTCTATATCATCTTTCCGTTAGTGGGCATTTATGTGGTATATACCCTGGTGCTTTTGTGACTAAATAGTCAAATAGATGCACAACAATTTTGCTTAGAGAATGGTAGCAAATTAATAAAACGTATATATTTATGTCAATGTTTAGTTTTAAATTCATAACTATAAAAATTAAAATTATGAGGTTGATAAATATTATACTGATCAACAATTTACCATTATCAATCGAAATTGAAGTTTGTATCCAAATTCATATTTAAGTGTTATACATTTTTATTCTTTCCAAATCTATGTGAGGGTTACAAGTTTAACACTATATATTTCCTAATTATTAATTAACCAATGTCTCATTAGTAAGGTGTCAAGTATACATCATCATGTTTGAGTTATAAAAAATTAGTTTTGGTTGAACGATAATCCTTAAAAGATGTAGAAGTGGATCACTTTACCAATGAAAGATAATCTTGTAAAGGACTTAGGTAGTCAAAGATATAGATCTACTTTTTCTAGATAGCTAAAGGTAAAAAAAAAAAATAAAGCAATTAAACAGGTGACTGACTATCTTTGACCCTACAATGATCAACATCTCTAATTTCCCCTATGTGATACTTTGGCTTTTTCGGTTGCCACTAAATTTTTTGTGGAAAACCAACACAGCATGGATTTCTAGTACATCAATTCAAAGTGTGATCTTTCTCAGCACACCATGATCTTAATGTTTGTAGAAGCACGAAACCGTTTTTTTGTCTGGTAGCCATAAGATATATATCATGTCGTGTTAGAATCTTATTTGTATAATTTGTGCACTATATGCGATAAGACATTAGTGATTTAAAGTTTAAACATAATCTAACAAATAAACATATATCAAAATCATGTCTTTGATCTTAGCTTCTACTTTTTATAGGGTTATTTACAGGATGCTTCATTGCACTGTTCGTTGGATATGTCATCATGGCTCGTACCACTGGAACATATACACCACAAACTAATACAATCTACATGGAAACTGTCTACCCTCTTCTTAGGTACATATATCATGATGTTATACATTAATAACAAAAACTTAACGAAAATAACGTTGATAACCTTAGAGACAATATATTGTTGATTTTGCAGCATGTTCAGCCTGTTGTTTTTGCACTTTTTCCTATACGGATGCAACATTTTTATGTGGAGAAAGACACGTATCAATTATAGCTTTATCTTTGAGCTATCGCCAACACGAGAACTAAAATATAGAGATATCTTCTTGATATGTACCATGTCGATGGCAGTTGTAGTCGGTGTCCTGTTTGTTCATCTTTCATTGATGGACAAAGGGTATTCGTACTCTCAAGTTGAATTAATCCCAGGCCTTCTGTTACTGGTAATCTAATTACTTCAAATTCCCCTTAAACCATATTTTGATGTTTTTTAATTTTTCAGCGACATCTATAATTAATGTTTTCCATTTAATTAACAGGTTTTTATGGTATTGCTTGTCTGTCCCATCAACATCCTTTACAAGTCAAGCCGATTCCGTCTTCTTAGTGTGTTAAGGAACATCATTTTATCGCCTCTTTACAAGGTTGTCATGCTGGATTTCTTCATGGCTGATCAACTATGTAGCCAGGTCCGACACTATTATTATCATCATCATCATCAACATCAACATCATCATCATCATGTAAATCATTAGTTATGAAATATTTGATACTGAATTATTTTTATAAAACAGGTGCCAATGCTCAGGAACCTTGAATATGTATCGTGCTACTACATAACTGGGAGTTACAAAACTCAAGACTATGGATATTGTGTGCAGACGAAAAACTATAGAGATCTTGCTTATGCCGTTTCATTTTTGCCTTATTACTGGAGAGCAATGCAGGTTAAACAACAATACATTTTTTAAGATACATTATACTTTATGACTTGATATGATGACTTTATGACTTTATATGAGAAGTGTGCTGATACCATGTTCACTTTTTTGAATTATGAAGATCGGTCGATAATAAAAGTGGAGCTACTCTAACTAATTTTTTGTTGTGTAGTGTGCTCGAAGGTGGCTTGATGAAGGTGACACAGGGCATTTGATAAATTTGGGAAAATACGTATCTGCAATGTTAGCTGCAGGAGTGAAACTTGCATACGAAAAAGAAAAGAGTGTGGGATGGTTATGCATGGTAGTGATAATGTCAAGTATCGCAACTGTTTATCAACTGTATTGGGACTTTGTAAAAGATTGGGGTTTGCTACAGATGAACTCCAAGAACCCTTGGTTAAGAAATGAATTGATTCTTCGTAGGAAGTTCATTTACTTCTTCTCTATGGTATATATCTATTCCACATTATATTTTCATTAAAATGATGAATAAAAATTTAAAAGAAGAAAGAAATAATAATTAATCTTTCATTGCAAACTTGTTGGAATATTTTTTCAGGGATTGAATCTAGTTTTGAGGTTGGCTTGGTTACAAACTGTTTTACATTACAAATTTGGGAGCATTGATTACAGATTGACAGGGCTTTTTTTAGCAGCCCTTGAAGTCATTAGAAGAGGCCAGTGGAATTTTTACAGGTAAATAGAACATATTCAGTTAGAACATAAAATAAGACTATAGCTACAAAGAAACACGAAATTTGTGGTCCTAAATTGACCACATAATCGATATGAATTCTAAATATAATGAACAATAGTTTGCTACATGAAAGCTAACAGGAACATATCACCTTTTGATCATGGTCCTACACAGGTTGGAGAATGAGCATCTTAATAATGCAGGCAAGTTTAGAGCAGTGAAAACAGTACCACTTCCATTCCACGAAGTGGATGAGGAAGGCTGATGCATGCGATCATATATTCCTATGCAAATTCTCTTCATGATGATCAGTCGATATATGTTTAGAATATGATTCGTCGACCAAGCAACGAATAGTTCACATGGAACCTCTAATTAGCTTCACAAGTTGATGCAATAGGATTTTAATTTGTTCTTCTTCAACTTTCGTGTTGTCAGTTTGTACAAATAATTCATATTTGTACACAATTTTCTTCATTTTAATGGAACTCCCGAGTACCTTTTTTGCGTGTATTATTAATTTTAGAATCTTTTAGTTTGGTTCTAATCGGCTAAGGAAAATCTAGTCAGACTAGAACTAAAAGCCACAAACCATCAAGAAGAGAGACTCAATGTTATTAAAGATGCCCACCATTATTAAGTACTTGTCCCCAAAGGCTGTGTTTTTCCTTAGCCCATCAAGTAGAGTCTTCATTTATCTTCTTAATTATATATTAGGATAATTAGATAGTTTTATTATTATTATTATTCGTTCCTTATTCTCATCCAACGTTCAGTAGCCTTTTGTAACCCGTTAATATCATTGATCATATAAGTGTTCTCATATATGGGTTTCCATTGTAGAATTTAAAATTTGGTGTTAGTGTGTTACTGTTTGTAATTACGTTTTTTTAATCAGAGCGTTTTAGGATCAAAATGCATACCTTTCTTGCAAGTTTTTCTTGAACCCTACAAGGTTACCTTCTTTATCGATCAGCCTTCTTGGCCGATATCGTTTTTCCTTTCAACCTTACACAACCGCAGCGTACATAATCATATCGATTATTCTTGGATATTTATTTTCCAGCCCATGATCGACTTTTGTTGGACATTCAAAGCGTCCTTTAGGGAACGAGTGTTCCCAATCCCATTGAACGGGCCTCAACATCGTTATCTTTTAGGAGTGTTATACCTGAAAAAATCTTATTCCCTAAGCTTATATATATACAAGCTAGCATACAAATATCTTAAAACCCTAATATAAGCCTTAGTCGAATTTCCCAAGCCCACAAGCCCATATATATTAGCTCCACATCGTTTTGTTTTGGGTTTATTTATTTATTTATTATATCAGACCCACAAACCATTCACTTTTATCATATTGCTTTTCACATTAAAGCCACAACAAAATAAATAAATAATAAATAAAAATCATTTTTTTATTTGCATCATAATTTAGCCACTTTAAGTATTATTCATTTTTTGCTCTTACAATAGAAAATAAATCTTTCTATTAATCACATACAATAGGTTATAGATAAACGAGTTTCCCATGGCTGCAATCAAATGTGACCTTTCACTTTTGAACAGTAACACTAATTTTTCATTTTGAAAAATGATGATGACAAACCTCTGGGTCAAGCTGATTAGGACGATGCTTCGTGTTCTTTTGGAGAAAATGCTCAAGCTACTTAGATTCCTAATGAGAAACAGAAGGATTTTAAAGTTTTGACATAAATCCGGTTACATCTCGACAATAATACTATTCAAGAAGTACTCGGTGAAATATGTTTGAAGAAATATCTCATGAGCAAGATTCATTTAAAGCAAAAAAATTGCATACATCAACATGAAGGACGTAATCTACTTAACGACATCTTTGATTTTAAAGAGACCGGGTCCAATTTGACGACTTTGGAAATTAAGTAGGACGAAGAAGACCTTGACTTGATTGTTTTATGCCCTCTTTCGAGCTCCTATTCAAACCTAAGAGATACAATTCTTTATAGTCATGACTCTCTTGCTTTAAATAAAGTTTATAAAGTTTTACATTCAAAAGAGAAGATGGAAGATAATAAATATATGTATGTATGTACGTATGTAACATACTTACATACATGAATCCATGCATATATGCCCTTAGTGCATAAATTTGATGACAATTAGAACTTGTGACTTTGAATGTTTCCTATTTTTCTTCTCTTCAAACTCTTCTATCACTAGCTTAATCCTTCTTATCATGACTTTTGACTTGCTCGGAATCGATAAAAGTCCACTCAGAAGACCCTTTATTTTGAAATTAAATGACTTAGTGCACATGAAGGCATTAAGTGCATAACTTGCCCTTATAGTTACACTGATAATAACATTGGCGTTGGGACCATTTGATGACAATTACAACTTGTAACCTTTGTGACTTTGAGTCTGTCCTTTTTATTCTCATCAAATTCTTCTATCACTAGATTAATCTTTCTTTCTAGGCCTTAATGTGTGATGAAATGAAAAAAGTGAAATTTGACGATCCTCTACTATGAACTTAATGCAAACAAAAGGATAACATGAGCCATTTGAATGAAGAGTAGATAGGATCATTTGTTTATATAGTTGTTTTATAGATAAAGATCCTAACCTGTTGGATCTATATTAAGTATCTGGTGTGTGTGTGTGTGTGTGTGTGTGTGTGTGTGTGTGTGTGTGTGTGTGTGTGTGTGTGTGTATATATATATATCAAATATATCCTAACGGGAATAATAAGGCAAATAATATTTTCAATTTGGTATCAGAGCGCCTTGATCCTTAAGAGTTTCTGATTCGATCGTTGCTACACCTTCATGACTTCTTCTTCTACTAACGTAATCAACTCAGCCAAGATCGCCACAACCATTACATGCAAACTCACGCGCACCAATTTTCTACTTTGGAAGGCACATGTCATTCCCATTCTTCGTGGCATTCAATTGTATGGCTTCATTGATGGAACGACTAAAATTACATCAACCAAGATCACCTTCGATACCGGTGATGCAACAAAACATGAAGATAACATTGAATATGTGAAATAGATTACTCAAGATCACGCCATACTTGGAGTTATTTTATCTTCCATGACGGAAGAGGTTCTCTCACAACTCACTTGTTTCACGGACAAGTCCAATCATATGTGGACGTCCCTTAATACCATCTTCTCTGCGTAACACATAGGTAATTCCATTTAAATTTGCATGCAACTTTCAAACACAAAAAAGAAGATATGAGTGCTTCTGAATATTATTAGAAGATGACAAGACTTGCCGATACAATGGACAATATTGTTCATACCATAACTGAAGAGGAAGTCACTGGATATATCCTAGCTGGGTTAGGTTCCGACCACATAAACCTATTTACAACAATTACAGTCCTTAGTAATCAACAGGAAGTGAAACTACCTGAGTTTTTTTCATACGTGAATGCCCATGAGGCTCAATCAAAGGCAATCAGTGGCCCCACAGACTTTGCTTTATCTGTCAACAGTGTCACAAAATAGGAACCAATCAATTCACGAAAAACCCACAATAATGAAGGGTATTCCAGAAACTCTATTAACTATCGTGGTGATAATCAAAGAAATAATTACCGTGGTGGTAACTATGGATGTAGACATGGCCATGGAAGATAAAATGGTGGCCCAAGGTGTCAAGTGTGTGGTATTCTAGGTCACACTGCTTTGACCTGCAGAAACTGATTCAATCACTCTTATCAAGCTGAAGAGTACTGTGACGGTAATAAGGCCACTTTAGGTAGCTACAACAATGATCCAAACTGGTACATAGACACTAGAGCAACATACCATCTCATAAGTGATCTTGATTGATTGACTCTACCTGAGCGTTATCATGGAAAAGATCAGGTCCAAGTAGCAAATGGAACAGGTTTGTATTTATCCCATGATGGTCTTTGGGTCGTCCTCTTGTTCTTAAAAACATTTTGTGTGTCCCCCATATTAACAAACATCTTCTTTCATCTGATAAACTTGTTTCTAATAAAAATGTTTTCATTAAATTTTACCCAAATATTTTCTTTGTTAAGGACACACGCACGAAGAAAACACTTCCAATCGGTAAAAGCAAAAAGGGTATGTTTCCAGTGCCGATCAAACATATCCCTTATTATGTTGGATTCAGCACCAAAGTGTCATCATCTTAGTGGCATCAGGATATTGGTCATCCTTCTCCAGCAGTTTTCAAGTCAAATTTGAAGTCTAATAACTTAGGTTTTACCTTTAATAATGTGTCGTTAGTATGTGATGCGTGTCAACATGCCAAGAGTCATCAACTTTCTGATAGGATTTAGGTAAAACAAATAAACTTAAAACTCTTAAGTTCACATGCAACCTAAGGATCTATGTTTTCACTATTGAAACTATAACTATGAACATCAAACTAGAAACCCTAGACAATTTTCGAAAAATGTAAGTAAGGGTTTAGGATTACATATCTTATTGTTATTATAGTAAATAACATCAATCCTTCACTTGTAGATCTTCTTGGAAGCAAGCACCTCAATTGTCGTGCCTCTAGTGGTTTACACCTAAATTAGCAAGAAGGAAGAATATAGAGAGAAGAGAGAGGAGGTAAGATTTTTGTCTTGCCCTTTGGAATAATGAGTGGCCAAAAATCAAAGGGTTAGGGTACTTTATATAGTGGTACAAGGAAACCCTGTATAACCCTAATTGGAAGATAATAATAATACTTCAAATTAGTAATTATCTAGCTCCTTATTTATCCACATGGGATATTCTAGAAAACCTAGAAAATCCATCTAGAAACCGTCCAAACCTAATGGTGGAAGGTTCTGGAGCCTTTTGTTCAACTATTGAACAATTGCATTTTAGACCCTGCACTTTTAATTTATTCTATTAATCCCAAAATTAATTTCGCATTAATTATTAATTAAATAATAGTTTTTCTAATTAATATATTATTTTCATAATACATTAATAAACATTTTAAATTAATTTATTAATCACATAATAAATTAATCTCTCTCTCTCTCTCTCTCTCTCTCTCTCTTTCTGAAAGTCAACCTGTCCAATTGCTAGGTTTGAGGGCAACCCAAAATGATTGTGCTACTATCAATTCATGTATATATCAATTATAGTTATGGGCTTAGACACCTAATCCAATAGTCTCCCACTTGGATAAATCTATAACTATAACTGCTAGTATAAGTTCTGAATTGATCAACAAATTGTAGTTTCCAAAAACCACTTCCGAACTCTAACCCAGTCAGTTACGTGTCCTAAGATAAGTGATCATATAATCCTTCGTTCTTCAAGATATCATTCGGACATGAGACATGGAATAGAATCAATCTCATTGTCCAAGACTTTGTTTCCCGATTTTTGATTTGTGATGATATAAGACTTCTAATTGAACACATCAATTTAGTCTTGGCTGGGCCCAACACTATAAGTCAACACCAAATCACCGAGGGTCCCAAAGATATCACTTTTCCGGTTAAGGAAAAAGGAACGAATAAACTTTGACTCATAT